TTATTCTAATGAGAAAGCAATACCAGGAAATTTTAGAGTTTATGTTCATGGGATCAAAATCTAAATGTTTATCAGGTAAGTCAAGAGTAAGTCAAAGTTGCATCCCCAAACTAAAGATACTGAATCTGAGAATGGTAGCACATCTGTGATGATTCGAAACAGTTAAATGCTTGTACTAAGACAGATATTTATATGTATTAAAAAACATAATTTAAATCATGGAATACGGCACTTTAAGATAGAAAATACTTCAATTCTGGTGTATATATAGATTTCACCACAATTTGCAAACATGAAAATCTTGACTTGCAGGGTCAAGCCACTGATATAGATCATCAACAGTTTAATTATTTTAAGTTAGTATTACAAAAGGTGAACAAATCTTCAAAGTGAACTGTTCCACTAAAACAGAGAAAGGGATGCTAAGTGCTTGAGTCTCATTTTCACCTCCAAGGATTACTTGGAAAGACTCAAATTATATTTATTTTCAGATTATTTTGATCACTTTCTAAAGAAAACAAAATGCTGTAGTAAATGGAGAATAAAGTGATATGACTTCATACACGATGAAATGTAGATGCAGCAAGCGTACTTGACATGACACTGATTTTTCTTAGATGACTTTATGTCTTCAACTTAAGAAAAACAAAGCTATAAATTCTGCATGGAGGAGATAATGTAGCAAGATTTCATGTACTGTTTATTGCCTAAACAGTATGTACAAATTCTAAACATGAAAATAATGAGTAAAAGAAAATCAGACTCTATTTACATTTACATATTTTTACAAATTATTTTTTACAAGAAGTGTATTCTTTTTTTCTCTAAATAACAGGACAGACACATAAAACCAACCTTTTTGTATTACATACATAAATAAATATTGACTTTAGATGAGTGTTATAGGTACATAATTTCTACAGCCGATTTGGGTAACAGAAAAGCAGCTCTGTTACCTCTACTACAATACAATTAAGTAAAAAGGAAAAATTTTACATATAGAGCTCTGTTCATTACTTTGTAAATTGTACTTTACTAGTATATTCAGTAGAGGTAATACAGTCGTTACGTTTCATGCCCACAACTGAACAATGAGTTTTGGCATGCAAACCCATATATAATCATCAACATCTGCAGGTATTCATTTACATTTTTTAAATAAAGGGGTTTATTAATTATCGAAAACTACATGCAACAGCTTATTAGCATCATGTTCCTGGTTACAATGCACAAGTTTGCATAACATTATTTTTAGTAATTGATGTTCACAGGTACTGATCAAAAGGGTAGGAATATACTTGGCACATAGTATAAAAAATGAATTAATAAATAAGTCAATATCACAACTACATTTACATATACACAAGACAAAATTTTTTGGGGGGTTGGACTTTTACACAGAATTTAGAACTATCTGGGTCCCACACTTTGTTTTATAAGGCCCTGATTTAAGACACTGTTCGAACATTTATTTGAAGCATCACTAAAGCTCATTCTTAACTGCAAAGGTTTCCTTCCATCCCTCTGACTTCTTTTGTGCATATGGAAGTTTCCTCTTCTGCATATCTTCCTGAATCAGGGCCTGTTTATATGAAACTCTCTCTGACTCCAGTTGGGAGCATGGAGATGAAAAGTACCGTGGAATAAATTGACTCAGTATTTAGGTTTTTATACACTTCTGCTAATGTCAATAGTAAAATTCCCATTTGCATTAGCAATAAGTACTTCTCTGACTTTGTGTGACCATGCCAAACATAAATGTCAATGTTAGCATTGCCACACCATTTCCTCAACTCTTTCTGAAGCCCTAAGTTGAGGATGTTCAGCATTTCTGATGTCAGACCTCTTATATATTGTCTATGTGTTATATACTTAATGAATATTCAAGATGATACACATAGTAGTACATCACAAGCTCTGTCTTATTTGAATTTCTCCTGCTCTATAAACAACTCAAAAAAGGTAAAAAAGATATAACAAGAAAAAACCAAACTCTTCTTAAACAAAAATCACCAATGAACAAAACAATCCACAAAGCAGTTAGCAAAAATGGCATAACCTTATAATTCTCCTTTAAGAAATAGAGATTAACAAAATGCATCCTGAAGTCAACTGACAAATCCATCAGAATCGTACATAGCAAATAATATATTAGTGTAAAGGTGCAGAGTATCTAAACCCATCCCAATATCTATATTAACTCTGTATTACGCAACATCATTAGAGAAAATAAATCTTTAATTAGTGAATCAAGTAGTGAATTAGAAGTCTATTGCTGAATTATATGTTTAATGTGACTTACGCTAGTAAATTAGGATAATACCCTGTCCAATTCAGCAAACAAGGCTTTATGAATTAGGCACTAATTACTTCAAATCTGTACCGCTAAATTGAAAGAATAATCAGGAAATCACTCATAGCTGGGAATTTAACATCTATGCATGAGCTTTGTTGACCTTGTATTTTCATTTTTTATTTGGAGGGTGACTGGAAAGCTGAGTTGATAAGCTGATTTGCAGAAGGAAAAAAAAATTATTTACACCTTCGTGGACTCTATATATTACACTTGTTCAACACAATTCTACTTCATCGACTTCTTTATTTTTTTATTTCCAGAATCCACTTTAAAAGGGAAAACCTCTCCATGTTCTTCTACTTTTAGAAGTTGAATGCTTCAAAGAGACTGGCATCAGCAAACAGTAACCATTTTGATTCAATTCAGAATGATGACACTTCCTTTCAGAAACGAAGACTAAGAGTATGATCACTCAGGACTGCTAACATCCAGTTTATCCCCAAGCCAGATTTGGCATCACTGTAATAAAGACCGACATCCATGTTTTATGCTTTACCATGTCGCTGTGAGCGAAACATAATTTCATTAACATTAATCAAGTCACTATGGATTTTCTCCAGTATAACTAGAATAGACTGTGATTGGAAGGCTTGGACAGCATTTTTCAGGGAAGCCTGAGGTAATTACTTTCCCTGATCCCAGTGACTCCTGCTCTCAGCAAACACCACGGAGATCACTTTAGCCTTACCAAGGTCCTCTGCTATCTAAATGTCGAAGCAGTGCTGCACACCAGCCTCATTCAAGTTGTGCTTTCTTTGCAAAGATCCATACACACAAAATATTTCCATCCTGAAAAAAGTCTCTGAGACTCTGGCCTTCTCTCAAAATTGAAAAGGCATCTTTATATTACAGATTTTATGAAGAAGAGTTCATCTGTTTATTTGTTAATGTATTTGGGAAAGGGGGAGGTGACAGAATGATAGAGGAAGGAATTAAAAGCACCATAGCTTTTCACAGTTTTAAACCCATTCTTAAAGGCCCAAACCATGTAGCCTTAGAAATTTTCTGGAAAAGTTCTTGGTCACTGAGTGCATACCAAAGAAGACAACAGGCGAAGTGGAAAGAAGAGCAAAAAAGATGCCTTTAAAACCAAAGGAAGAAATGTACGAAAACTGTAGTAATCAAGTGATCAGAAATTAATTCAGTTTTCTCCTCTCCCTGTGGTATCAACCCACATGAAACAAAAAGCTATAACTGCAGTACAGACAAACTCTACTTGAATATTTTGTGAATACTCTACTGTGATAAATGTAACTCTGATACTCAGTCTCAGATACGTTTCTTTTCTCCCTATTGCTTTCCACAAAACAGTTTGTCATCAAGAGAAGGAAAATATATTTACCAGTGGTGTCTGAGCTTCTCTCCCTGCATCTCTCAGGCGAGTATGAAGTACAGGTAAGTCTGTAGCATCCACTGATAGAAAAAGTGGCCACCTTGTCAAGTTTGACTACTAAGTGTTTGAGCTGTCAGCCTTATTATATGACGGTTCAGGGAGCAATGGAAACCGTGCCAAAGAATGCGGGAGCACTTTGAACATCCCAAACACGAGAAGCTGATTATTTGTATGGATGTTTATGGGCATATACTTTCCACCCTCTCAATAATAAATCCAAGCAGTGTCTGTTTACTATCGAAGGATGTCTCTCTGTGTGGCAAATTATTCTCGACAGTTTATATTGCACAATAAGGCAATATGAATTCCCTTACGGTTAAAAAGGGCACCCTTCTGTCTAAATTTGAAAAATGCATTCAAATAAACTATAAGCCAATGTTTTCCAGATGCCAGAATATTGTCACATAATTCTTTCTGTAAGCAGCATAGCATGGAGCCAATACATCCATCCTTCTGTTCAAGAGATCCACGGGGAAAAGAGCTATGTGCATCAAAAGCCAAAGCCGAAAAGTAGGTCTACAACTACTTGAATAATAAATGTGCCTCAGAATTCCAATCTCTAAAATGTTCGTGTTAACTATTCAGACTTTTAACTAGAAAATAAGTCTTTCTTTTCAAGATACTACTATACCTTGAAGTATTATATCACAAAAAATTGTAAGTTGAATTTTAAGAGTCATTCTTCCAGGCCCTGTAAATGAATTTTATCAATTGCCATAGATTTTCAACAATTCTACTAATTGCCATATGTTTCTTTACAATGGTACATCTACCCTGTATATTTTTTAGTTATTAACTACAGTTAAAACAGACCTGCATGCTAAAATGTTACCATTTCAGAACAGACGGTTGATACAAGTGTATCATTCTCCTCTGTGGTGATACTGCAATTATTAAATACTGACTATTTTAGGGTTTCTGCTATCTGTATTTATTTTACTCATGTCCTAATTTCAGACATACTGAGATCTGCTTTAACAGCAAAATACACTAGGGCTTAAACTGGTGACAGGAAGTGCTTTAAGCAAAACAGATCATTTAAAGACGCTGATGAGAACATGGTCTGCAGTGTTCAAAAGTATGTATACATCACAGGACAACACTGCAAATATTAACATTGAAGTCACTAAGAGAAAAAGCTGCATACACTGCACCATTTCAATCTATTTTAAACATAAAAATACAAAACCATTATAATGAACACACTTTTGATTTTCTCACAGGTGCCATCTTCAGTTTGCCGAACAGGGCTGGTACTGAAATGATACTTGCTGTAAGTTTCATCCTGGTCTGGGTGCAAACACCATGTGTCATGGCCAAACTACAGAGAAGTAGATACAGATCATACAGGATGGTAACTTCCACTGGAAAACTGGGTTCTTTGCTCTTACAGGTGTGCCTTTTCCTAGCTTCCACTTGGGAACTCAGTTTCTCTCTGTTATTTGTATAATCATCTGAAACAGTCTAATATTTCTCTGGGGGTGGCTTGTAGTGATGTGGATGATGTTGCTTCAGATGAGGTCCTAAACAAAAGAATAGGAAAATACGCACATATCAAACCCTGAATATGAAACACCATCATTTATCCATACTAAAAAGTCTTCATGAGGCCTTCAGCTTGCAAGTGAACTGCCTGTGCCGACAACTACTTGCTTGTTCAGTCAATAAACTGTGAAAGGACAAAAGGATTCAAGCAAATGAATCCTGGACTAATGAATTATATTTTTTTGTTGAGCTTCGCAACACTGAGCTTTACTTTTCAGAAACTTCTAAAGTGATGGAAATGGCCATTTAGAGGTCTGCACTGCTTTAGAGATATGATCAGAGTCTAGCCCAGCTGGACTGAATGTACCCAGAAAAATCTAATCTTGAAAGCTAAGCAATCCCAGGCCTAGGTGGTACCTGGAGGACAGACTGTCTTGGAATATGAGTGCTATAGGCATAAGCCAAAGAGCTGCGGCAGAATGAATGGCAAATAGCAGACCACAGACACTGAGTGAGAGAAAGACTGCATTTGCTTCCATCATTGCTGATAGACAGTTATGCATGGAAAAAAACCCAGTATCTTCACACATCTTAAATTCATGGAATGCTACTGGAACCAATAAAGACTCTAGGGCTCGAGCTAACTGTTTACATGTGGAGGATTAAGCTCTGTAACACTTAACCACATGTCAAAACGAGGTACTACTTACTGTGGGGTGAAAATGGAGGAAGGTCGGGTGTTCGGAATGATTTTATTGTAGCTGGCCCTTCACCACCAGTCGTCAGGACTTGAACTTCCAAGCGGTACAGCATCGATGGCCTCAAATTGGGCACAGTAAGTACATAATGATCCTAAAAATAAATAAATGGTGTTAACTCTCAGAGCATCTAAAAATAAAACATAGTTGATCTACTTACACAAAGCAGTGGTTTAAACATGTTCTGCCACTCTCAGCACCCAGAAGTCATTTTCTTAGAAATCTGTTAAAAGGATTTAAGCTATGCATCGCTCATTGAGAGGGTTTGTTGTGAATTTTTTGCTTGCCATTGCCTGTAACATACTTTGACCATAATGTTATGGTTTCATGTGTAAGAGGTCCAAATTGTTCCTCAGTGCTCTTGAAAATGGATGATGTGCTCATCACTAAAAAAAAAATATTAAATTTTAACTTCCTAATCATTCTTTTTAACAAACATGTTCATTATAAAAACTTGCTTTTATTTTGGATCTGTCTGTTGATTCCACTAATGGGCAAATTAATTCATGGCAGTTCGCAGGTCTAGTCCCCTGCTGAAGCTAGTGAAAATAAGTGTGGCTACACAGATTTCAGCGTATTTGTCTCATGAGAATCTATCCTTCTGTTCTGTTCCCATTTTTGCCATGATGGCCTCAAATTTCACTGCTCTATACCTTGTGTGGTCACTTACACCTGTGCAAAATAATTTCAGAGGAAGTTTATAAATGCTCCCAAATGGAATACATCTCACTAACGACTGAAAGGCATCAAGGAATCAAAAGTCCAGATTCACCTTATTCCAAGTGGAAAAGGATCAGTGCTGGGAAGGGTATGGCAGGGCAGTGATGCCGGACAGTGCAGGCACGGTCTGCTCCTGCGACCCAGGAATTTTCAGGCCAAGTTCCTCTGGCTGGTACTGCACCAAGAACCGTGCAGGGGGACTTAAGCAGGCTGTGGGAGTAACTGATAATTTGCTATTACTGCCAGAGCAGAGAGTAAAGAGGAAGGAGAGAGAGAAAAGATGGGGGGAACCGTGTAGTTTTATGGCCAAATTAGTGCATATTCTGAGATGGGGCTGCTCTTAATAGACCTTGTGGAAGCTGTTCCCCCTCATATAACACACTGAATGGGTAGGGGTGAGAGAGGAGTGCACACACCTCACTCATACACTGCCCATTCAGGTGCTCCTCTGGCCGTTAGGATGTGTGTGATTCAGCCCCCATTATGTAAATATTAGATTTTGATGAGTTAGAGGCTCCCAACGAGAACAAGGGAATAATCCTCACCATAAAATACCCTACATTATGGTGGTTTCTGAGAGGTGGGAGATACTGTTTCAGCTCAAACCAGAGTTTTCTTAACAGTCACCAGAACTAGGCAGAGAGATACCTACAGTGACAGACAATTAAACAAAAGGAATCTCCAGGTTCTACAGCAGTGAAAACAGAGGAGAAAAATGATAAAAAAATTAAAGCATAACACAAGGCAAAGGAGTGTTTTAAATAAAACTTGATATATATTTCACACCTAACTGGACCAAAAAAAATGAATAGAAATCCTGAATAAAACATACTTCTGCTTCTAAAAGTAAAGATGAAAACTGAAAAGTACCACCCCATGGTCTGTAACTTTGCTTAGCATTGTGCTAAGTTGCTGTTTGCTGCCAAAGGTCTGTTGACTGAGTAACCGCTGCTGAAGAGACCAAGGCTGTGTCTGCCCCCTGCTTCTGCGCTGAGCTGTGGGCTGAGCTCTGAGCGAACTGGTGTCAATCACACCAAGTCTGTACTAAGCTGTTACAAAACAGCTCCACACACTGAGTGGTATCTTGACCCATTGTTTTACAGCATCTGTGGTCAACTTTGTTGTTCTCCCCCAGAACAACAGGCTTAGAAACATGGGGGCTCTAGCCTTAGGGCAGTCTGCAGGGAATTAGGACAAAATGGTGAGCACCTTGTCTTGCATCTGTGGATAAACACACTGCATGTAAGATGCGTCAAACAAAATGTTTTACGCATTCTTTGATGAGTTGTGAAAAGATATGCAGCCAGCTCTGCTTTAGATGCAGTCACCTTGATCCACTTCCCTGATGCAAATGGAAAGACTCCCAACATTGTTAGCTGGCTTCGGATCACGGCCAGCTGCATAAGACCTTTTGTTGACTTTGGTGGATCTGGCAGGAGAATCTGAATGATTTGCTCTTCACCTGCCTCTGCCAGCAGAGAAACTGAAATAGCTAAGGTCATTTTAAAGCAAACAGGAAGAAGTCGTCCAATTGTTAATTCTCACACTTCCAATAAGTAGTGAAATCTAGTTCTCCTTTAAATTATTTGTCTGTCAGACAATGATGTGTACTGGCAAAGTGCGAAGTGAATCTTTTTTTATTTAGGCAAAGAAGTGACTCAAAGGAAGAGAAAATTCTCTTAAATCCATTGACATGGACACCAAATAATTAGTAAAACAATAGTAACTGCTAAATTGAACAGCCTGATCATCAAAAGAAAATAAAAACTATCTATTGCCACACAGATGATCTTTTCCTCCCCTCAGGCATTTCTCAGGCAATGGTTGCTAATTTGACAATTGTGAAAATTGAAATGTTTGATGTGTCATCAAGAAAAGTAGCTGTGCTTTGTTCCTCCAGCAAGAAGGAAAAATTAAGCACTTCTTGCACCAACTTGCCCGCAGAGCCAGAGAATGCGATGTGTGACATCTGCATCACCACTACCACCACACTGAAAACAGGCCACTTACGCACACACTTATGAAGCCACTAGCAAAGGAAAGCAGCAAACAACTTACTGCTGGCAGTATCTGTGACTGCGAAATGATGCTGTTGGGTAAGCTGTTCTGCCGGCTTTCTGTGGTTACTTCTGCCCAAGTGACTTGAAACCCTGTCATGGGCTGGTGCAGGTCAGCCTTCGATATCTTCCAGGAAAAATGACCAGTGATGTTACCTTCCTGGACAATGAAAGACGCAGATAGATTCTCGGGTTTGGCCAACACTTTGGGTAGAACTGGCACTATAAATTCGGAAAGCAAAAAGATAAGCTAAACTTTGAGAGGTAACGTTAAAATAATGTTCATTTAGTTCCACAAATCAAGATCAGACAGAGAACTCTTTCTGCTGTTACTTAGGATCCTGCCAGCTTTCTGCCATTGCATTTTCAGTGTTCCTAAAAGCTCATATGTGATGTATTCCATTGGCATTTTGTGCCGTTTTAAACTTCAAATCAAATCCTGCCAGCTGCAGGTGACAGAAAGGAAAGCATGTAAAGGTACAAGTGCCTTATTCATAGGAAACCATCCTGCTGTTCCCCTGTATTTCGTAATACCTTTATGAAATTTTCAGTTTTCAATTTTGGGAGCACAAGAAAACCCACAGGATATCACAGAACTCCATGATGCAGGCAAAAACTAAAAGTCATGCTCTAACACTGTAGTACAAGCTAATAGGGGCTCTCTGATTAGGGTAACATATGCCTGAGTTGCAGTTGCCCAGGAATAAGGTTGCAATGCTGTAAACCGTCAGGAGGGGCGGTCAGAAAATGGCAGTGGTGGCCAGCAGGACCCACAATGCATGGCAGTACCCTTGGGGACAGCAGGGACTCAAAGTGAGTGGACATCCCTCTAGCTGAAGAGAGAGGTTTTCAGACTTGGCTGTGCAAACCTACGGGTGACCTGACTCAGTGCTGACAACAGACCTGCTTCAGGCAGGCGGCTGGACTAGGTGACTAGCTGACCTAAGGACTGGAGATCCTTACCAACCCACATCTCCATGATTCTGCAATTTTCCATAACCCTCTAGCTATACCCACCATTGTGGCAACACTGTAAAAGGTACATGTGCCTCTATTTGTTATTTGAGAGCAGAATTAACCTAAACAAAATCAAACTGAAAAAGCAGCTTGCATCAGTAGCAAAACATTCAAAAGATGGGTCATGCCAGCATAATTATGTTTACAGTTATCATCTGTCATTATAACGAATACGACTGGGAAACTGTTCTCTATCACAAAAATAAAAAAATGTGTAATAACAAATGTCATCATGTGCTTATGAACAGCCCACTAAAATTATCACCTAACAGACAAAACAGTAATGTGGTAGCTAGAATCTATACTGCTCTCTATTTTAGTTGATTTAGTTGATTTTTCACATAAGCATTAGTCATACTGTATTTGTCCTGAGCCTTTCATTGCCTATTTTACAATTGTCTTTGAAGACTCTTTTGAGTGATTATAAATGCATTTGAAACTATTTGGCTACTTCTCCAGATCGTGCCTTACCTCCTTCAGCAGAACAATTAATGTGCTTGTGGTTTTTTTCTTTGAAAGCAGAGCAAGGTGGGGTAACAAAGAAAATACTCTCAGCTTTAAAGCGACCTTTAGATTTTGCAGGCAAAACAGTTACTTTATATTTGCATGAAAATGACAGGTCCTTCAGAATCATGTAGTTTTCCTAGAAGAAAAACAAAAAGATCACATGCTGCAAATAGACTTCTTTAAAAAAAAAAAAAAAAGAAAAAGAAGGTTGACAGAAGATGAAAAGTTTTCTCCAATAAAATATTTTCCTGATACGCTTAACACATGCCAACATGGCTTTTACTCAGAGAACAAAGCAAATGTTGCCTATGTTATGATTATTTTCAGTAGCAAAATATATTAGCATGGTATTTGGGTATGTCCTTCAATCCCACACAGTTCCTTCGCCTTGCTGCATCAAAGCAACTGGCTACTAATATTTAGAATAGTCTCTCTGACATGATGGCAATGGGGGTAGGAATGCGAGGATGTACATGCTAGTTGAATTAAATAAATGTAAGAAAGCTGAGTTAAGCTGCTGTAAATGACAGGCTTCATCTACATTTAACTTTTTAAAAGTGCATTCGAAGTCCAGCGTGGCATTATGGATCTTTTTTTTTTCTTTAGTACATTAACTACTTCCACCTTTTTATCAGGAAGAAAAGCTCCACAGCTGAACTACAAAGCACAATTCTCTGTTTAAAGACAATGACTGGAGAAGAAAACTTTACATTAAGTGTAAGTGTCCTGCTAAATTCTTACTGTTGTCTAAAGTACTTTTGAAAATCACAGCCTGAAAGCTTCAGCACAAATCATATATGAGAAAAAAATGTTTGGGTTTTTTGTTTTCTTGGAAAATGTCCAGTACCTTACTGGCTAAGGTCAAACATCTTTCACTGCCTTTTAGATCTTTACTTCCCTTCAGAACCAGTAATTTCCAGCGTTCTTCTGCATAATTCACTATTTTTTCTAATCCTAAACTGGATTAGTCTAATTTTCACTTGGAAAATCTTTTTTGACAGGACATAGAGTTTGGCCTGAGAATTGGCTTGATTCCCCACCTTCGGCCTGCTGGTGAGTGCTCTGATAGGCTTGACTCCTGCTTAGAATTTGTGAAAGGGCCTAAATGCTCGACACGGGAAATGTAAAGCCTTTATCCACCTTGACCCATCATATCCGGTACCAAACTTTTTGTAGCATCAACCTGTTTACTTGTAATTATATTCATCCTCAAGAGAAACACAAAGGTAGGTTGGACCAATTACTGTAAGATGATTGAGAGGAAATAAATGAATTAATCCCACAATGCATTTGGGCAGACGTACAAAGAGTCTTTCCTGACCTCTAGTGGAAATAAGCTTCTTAAATGTTAACTTCCTTCTATCTTCAATGTGCATACCTTGAAATATTGGGACTGATCATACCATTATGTCACAATCATTTTTTTAATCCACTTCTAATATTTGCTTTGCTGACCCCACAAAGCAGTAAATCTTACAAGCTAACAGCCTTCTAAACAAACGATTTCTTTTGACTTACTCTATTTTTACATGCCATTAACTCCACTGAATTGATCCAGTAGTATAGGTCAGGGCAAGAAGGAAAGGTGAATTGTGATTTCTTCCATTTTCCATAACCCACTAAATCAACTGTGATGCACCAATCACATTACTGTGTTGTTCAAATAATGTGTTACAGAGATGGATGACACTAGATTGCCAACAAACTGAGTATGAAGGACTGCCACTGCAATATATATTTGGGCTGACGTGTACGTACATACAGCTTTTCTCCTTATCTGGTATCTGTCTGACTTCCAGATTTACTGTCTAGTATTTTTCACCTATGGTCCTTTTCTCTTATTCTGTTATTCTCCTAAGGGTTGTGAAACCCACCTGCATGTCTAAAAGAAAAACTATTTTATTAATTACTATTATTACTGTTCAGTATTTGCACTGTGCTAGAGTCCTACAGTACTGACTATAGACAAAGCTCCATGTTCTATATGCTGTAGAAATATATAAGTACTTAGCTAAGAAGTTTGTTTGCCCACTCTTGTTTTCTGAATAACACCACTAAAAAAAATGTATGATTTTAGCCTAGTGTTGATTAAAAAAACCCAAACAAACAAAAACCAGTCCAGATGCACCAGTTTTATGTTTTGCCAAAGAGGAACATAAAAAGAAACATTCTTACTTATCTATGAAACATGGTACAAAGCACACTGTGTTATGTTACAGAACCATCCTTTCTCTTGCTGCGTAGAAGCTATTCAGAGTCAAGCAAAGGCTGAATGGAGACTTACGTAAGTCAGCTCAGTTACTTTCCCAAGCCCTTTGGTGTCATTGTGTGCACAGGACTCCAGCAACCAGTGGACTTGGAATTGATTCATGCTGATATCTAAACGATGTAAAAAGAGAGGAAAAAGACATATATTTTAATTATGCTTTCACCATTGCAACTTTTCTGGCATCTGGATAAAAATAGAAGGTGTTTAAAGTATTACAGAGGTGGTAGTTCTTCACTTGTTCCTAAGCACCCTTCAACAGAAAGGAGAAAGTATTATACATTTATGGTTTTTAAACCTTACACCAGCTAATAGTGATTAGTTTAAAAACAGAAAATTGGCATTTTCAGATATGTAACAATATACCGATTCCTTTTTTTTAAAAATCAAACATTTACATTGAGCATTTAAAAAAATCTCAATGCTGCTACTTCTAAACATCCTGCAAATGATGGAAATGACTTTGTGTCAACTGCCTATGACTGTATTGTCAGAGAATTGCAATACTGCTGGCCTGGAACTGCTTGAGAAATCTGTGCCTGAAGACATGTGAAAATGTCTGTAAAGCCCTGAGCTTTCTCCTTTCAGAATGTATCACAGGACCTGTTCAGTATTTGTCCAAATAAAATGTTCATCTTGACTCTTTGGAACAATACCAAAGGCTTGAGTTTGTTCTCATTTAAATCAATGGCAAAACTTGCCGTAGTATTAATAGTATAAGCTTTCAACCCATTTCCAGCTCTTCTAACTCCTTGTCTAATACTGTAACATAAGGAATCAAAACAAAGGGGAATAAAGAGTTAGACAAAAGAAGAAAAACTCATTGTATATCCTGTAATTTTTCTGGATTTAGTTCTCCTCTATCCTTATACAGCATAATAATAATGATGCAAAATTATGTTTGTTATTAATAATTAGCTGGGTATGACATAGCCACTAACGCCAAGAGCCTGACTGTGGGTTTCAAGAGGGAAAACAAATATCGTTGATGCCTTAAGGGCTGATCTGGCATTAGACTGCTACGATCGATTGGAATGCAGAAAGGAGGGACTGTAACCTAAAGAGAAAATAAGTAGTGTCTGAAACTAGCTCAAATGGTATTCTGGTAAAAAGACTGATTAGAGGCTCCTTGAAACAGATTTTTGCAGCAGCTCTCTTCCTAACAGCATGTCTGCTAATTATTTGTGTGACTTCTTTGGAAACCCAGCCTTTTTTTTTTTTTAAATAAATATATGAAGACATAACCAGCTGCCTTGCGGTTGTTCCCTCTCATTTAAAAATAAAAAAATAGGTGTTCTTTCACTTGCCTCTTAGTTGTTGAGCTTTCCTAGATGATGTGCCTGTTGAATGAAGACACAAACTCACAGTGTATTTGTAAGCAGGTTTCATACAAACTCACAGTGTATTTGTAAGTAGGTTTCATCTTATTTCGTCCCCTCCAGTCCACTCAATTATTGCCTATCACCTGCTTGCACCCCTCTCCTGGGACAAACTAAAAAAAATACCTAGCTTTTTGGGACCTGAAAACTTTGTGCTGCTGTATTAATCACGCTATGTTAATGATGTATACTCTGTGCCAATTAACCACAGCGAATCTGTTGAGTGTACGTCATCTGATAATCACAATTTTAAACTATCTGCATGTAAGGTGGACTGCTCTTAGGAAAGCTACAAATTGGCTATTTTTACTTATAACAACTTTCCCTTGCAATCCATGTATAAATCACTCTCTCTTTGTAGAGATTATCCAAGCCAATTAAGCCTTACTGTTATCCAGCCATCAAGAAGGGGATAAGACACATACCTCAGCTAGGTCACTGAGTATCACTCCATGGGCAACTGAGGAAAGATAAATCCTCAGCATCAGGAGCTTATAACAGCTCAGAATCCAGACATATCAGTGCAGAGTTCTACTAAGCCTCTGTTCAGAAATGTAATTAAACAGGTTGTGACCCAAGATATTTGGTATTTCCAGCTTGTGGCACAGTAGAACTCTGTTTAGACTTTATTGCAGCTCCACCTCCATTCCCTGTGTGAGCCTCTGCTCTCAGGCATTCTTTTTGTCCTTCCTACTCCTCCTCTCCTGCATTAGCAACTCTTAGTAACCCATTTGTAAACAGCTGTGGTTTCTGATAACCTCTCTAACTGAGCTAAAAAATCAGGAAGAAGTTGAAAAAATTATTTCACTTCCTATCAACTTGGACTGTAAATGTAGGATGAAGGTTTTTAATAAACATAATTTCACTTATTTATTTATTTAAACAAAATGAACACATGAATCTTACATTTGACAGTGCTCACATCTGGTATTCTGGTAACAATCCACATTGAAAAGATGGGATTTTCTTTCTTTTTCAGTTAGTATGTAATAAAGTTATTTCAAAAATGGTTTTGCATACATGTATAAAAGTACATCAACTGCTGTAAACTGGAATGCATCAGGACAGCTTTTCATTAAAACAGGCTTTTTGATATCCTTAAACGTTTATTCTCAACTTTAAAACTTCTTCGATTCTCAACTCAACCTTTGTGATTGCTGTCATCTAAAAGATTTGAACATAAGCATGCTAATTGCTTTTTGTTAAAAAGAAGAATGTAAGAACAATTGACAACAATAAAAACAATTTGCTCCTTTTAGAAAAAAATCTATGCCATCAGGGTCTAAAAACTGAGTAATTTGGGCTGCAAAACTGAAATAAAATGGGGAAGTAGGTCATACTTGATACAGAAACTTTTTTAAAAACACAGAAAGCTGGGACATTTTGTGATTAAATAAAGATAGGAGCATGAAAAAGTCAGAGATGTGCATCCATGAAGTATGCTTATGAAATAACAAGACTGGTTTAGAAATTATCTCTACATTTTTAAAAAGAAAGAAGGAGACAAGATGTATGAAATGATGTAAAAAGCCATATAATAGACTTCACAAAAAAAAAAAAGAAAACATGTATTTGTTACATGAAGTTGCTCATAAAGATCATGGCTGTGGAGTTTTGTTTTTGTGCAATATTACACATCTGATTTTGTGCTTAGAGCATATGCAAAAGAAAAGCTTTTCCCAGACTTCCTTTCAGCACTGTACACTCTCCCAGTGAGCTCACTACTCTAATCTGTTTGCAGCTGTACATTACACAAGCAGTAGTAGGTACTGGACAAGTGACCCAAGCTGCCGTCTAGCTGAATGTCAGCCACTGCCACCAAAGCCAATGGCTCTGAATTAAGCCCAGCTGAAGATAAGATGTTGTAACGCACAACCACATTTTTTTCTCAACAGTCATTTGAGTAGTTAATATTAACAGAATATCCAGTAAATAATGGGACTTATTTTGGCCTGTTTTATCAGAAAGCTATGCTATCCCCTCTGGAATAGGTACATTAACACTGAAAAAACTGCCAGACTCCTTCAGTCTGGTTCCCTGATATTTCAGATGTCATATTATAAAGCCTTTTTTTTAATATATATAATCAATCTCCTTCTTAATAGTTTGGAGTTTTCTTGATTCTGTACTTCAAATTACAAGTCTTTATAAAGCTTTGTAACTTCCTATCATTTAACACTAAAAAGACTGATGCTTGCACAAACAGCAAGCATTCATCTTTCCCAGAACTCAATATATTTGTATAGAAAAGCTGAATCTGAAGGACAGACTAAGTGCTAGCACTCATTCCAGCAGCTCTGAGCTTGTGAAATTAGTCAACATAATAATCATTTAAGTAAGAACTCCTCAAAGGTCTGTTACAGCACAGAGCTTATTCAAACAATTACTTTTATTCTCTAGGTTCTTTAAAAAGAAACACCACATCCACCCCAGAAAAAAAAAAAAAACCAAACAAACCCAAAACCAAACAAAACCCTAACAAAACCCAAAAATAACCTCCCCCAAAAAAACAAAAAGCAAACCAGAAAAATTACTTTAAAAATCTGTGTAAAGTTACAGTTACAGACATGACCTTCAGCAGCTCAAACCAAAGATTTCTTGATGTTTCACACAGTTACACAAAACTAATCCACCCAAATAAACTAATAGATAATGGTAATTATTAGTTTGACTGCGAGTTTTAAAGTACATTTTCTTAAGTATAAAATGAGTTCCTAGCCTTCAGAAAACATTCCTATATAGGCATCACATGAGCATGTTCTTAAAATTCCACGTATGCTTAGCTGTTTTACTGAACAAGGGTATGCAGCCACCTTGGCAGGGAAGAAATCTTAAATCTCTAACTAGAAATGTATTGACCAGGGGATGCCCTAACGCATGCCAAGATGTCTGGTTTGATTCCCTCCCTATGTTTCACCCAGAAACGCCTTTAACTCCACATGAATACCTTCACAAAGCTATCAATTGTGTATATGAAGATGTTCCTTGTCAGATTTATCTTCTTTCTCCCCCTCCCTCACCTCAATGCTTTAGTTCCATTTCAATTAAATAAATAAGTACATTTCAGATTTTTGGGGTGGCAGGAAATGCACATTTATTCTGTAGCTTTAAGCTGTAAAAGCAGCTCACAATCCCATTAATGCCAATGTCAAATAACTCTGTTTGCCAGTTTGGAAAGTTCAGGTTCGTATGCACAATTTAAGCATCTTAGATTGAAAAGTTTTGTTTAAAGTACTGCAACATAACCTAAGTCATGGTTGCATGATGGCTAATAGGAATATCCTAGGCTTACGTTCTACATTTGCTAATTTTCATCATCTGCCCACAGAATTTGAAGCTTGAGACCCATTCAGAAAAATCACCAACACAACCCCAGGTAACTGCAACTTTTTCTATCTGGAATTTCTGTCTTAAAGAGTTCTACAGTTTACTGAAAATAAACTAAATAGAAAAGTAATCTCTTTTCCTTTTCTTTGCCAGTGTTTTCCACATTTCTGTTCTGGTGTACATTTCCATTACTGCCAGCCATGTGAATAATTTCATTTAATGTGGTTTCTTCTTTCTTCTACCATGTTACAGCAAACAGCTCCGTTCTTTGCCTCAAATACTTATTTTTGCTATATACTACATTTATTGTAGCAGAAGGGTGACAACTTGACAATCAAGAGGAACTGAAGTTTGCTTCAAGCTAGAAAACTGCAGTGAACTTTGTTCACACAACTCAATGCCACCAA